TACATTAAACAAAGGTGAAAGATACCAAAGGGAAACTCAAACTCGCAAGTGGAAAATAAACTGACGATGTCATATCAAAAACAGAAAAATGACGAAACGACAAACAATAATAGAATACGAAAACACAACATAGAAAACTAAAGACTGAGCAACACGAATCGCATCAAAAACCTCGGGTGATCTCAGGTGCCCTGGAAGGGTAAGCAGACCCTGGCACCCGTCGTGTAAATTAGAGAACATAATCATAGCGACAGACAACAGGAAGAAAAAGTATAAGTTAACATACAAGGTTTGACAATTTGGTGGCATAAAAAAAGCATTAAGACACAATTGGGCTCGTGTTTGCCTCCCGGCAGTAAATATGATTCTTTGCACAATGTGATTGAATCCAAACTGAAGATGAAACATGATCTTTTTATCAAAAAGTCAATATTATTCCTTTGACTTTTTTTTCAAATCTGAGGTAGCAATCAAGAATAGCATTTATTCTGATAAGTTCAAAGTCGCGAGTTGGCAAATTGTTAAAAGTTAGTGCCCTATAGCTGGTAAAATCTATCATAAACATAATTTATTTTACTGAGATAGGGAACCAGTATATCCCATTTTTTCGTCTCGGAAGCCCAAGATATGAATATAAAGAAATAACAAACTTTTCACAAAGATGGGCTGTTTCACAATCGTTAGAATAAGACGTAAATTATGGATATTCGTGTAATAGGTTATTTTTTTAAGTACTTGATATATATCGTTAAATGTTGCCAATGAATACAATACAACCTTTTTAATCATTAAATATTTATTACGTAACAAGAACAAAACTAAAATCAATGAAAATTTGATTTATCTAATACTTAATATGAAAAATATATAACACGCGCTTTGTCGCATGAGATTTTTTGTTTGTTTGGTTTGGCAAACAGTCATATCTTTTATGTAAAACCTACGGAAGCCCTGGAGTACCATGTATAAAAAAATTACAACTTGTGCTCGCAAGTTACTAACTTGTGCTCGTAAGTTACTAACTTGTGCGCGCAAGTTACTAACTTGTGCGCGCAAGTTACTATCTTGTGCGCGCAAGTTACTATCTTGTGCGCACAAGTTACACAACTTGTGCGCACGAGTTACACAACTAGTGCGCACGAGTTACGCAACTTGTGCGCACGAGTTACTATCTTGTGCGCACGAGTTACTAACTTGTGCGCACGAGTTGTACAACTTGTGCGCACAAGTTACAAGCGTTCTAATTGATATGCCCTCATCTTGCTTTGAAGGCTTATTAATGGAACGCCGTAACTACCTAATGCGAACATATGTTTATATATGCGCATTCTTTTCAATATCTGCACGTACTTTTTCTATATATGCACATCATTTTCCTATATATGCACATAGTTTACTTTATATGCACATACTTATTCTTTATATGAACGTAGTCTGGTGCCTTCATCTGTAGTCATGCACTTGTTTTGCAAGCCATAACTTTGTACTAGTCGATTTCTTTGTAATGAATTTTAACACAAGGATTCTTACCATTAATGGCACGTTGGAACTGATTTTAGTGGTTGTTGTCCCAACTGTTCAGTAAGAAAGGGTCAAAAGTTGTAAAAAAAAGCATTTTTATAAAACTTAGTTTAAACTGCCTTTTTTATGAATTCTAATGGGTTTTAAAGTCTTCAGTATAGATCTGTAAATGTAAATAGTTTTCTATTATTATGCTGCAGTAGGAGGGACCGATTAAAGAGGGGGAAATTTAAATTTGTATTTAAATGCCCTGCCGCTAGGTGAATGGGATATTAAGTTTTACCCTTGACCGTAAGTCTTTCCGTCTGTACTTCCATCCGTCTATTTTATTTCGGCGCTCTAACTTAAATTTGCCTTTTCTTAATTTGATGAAGCCCATGCACACAAATATAATAACTAAAACACGCAGACTGAGTTCTAATGTAGGCCGTGGGTCACTTATCGTCCTTGAGTTATGCCCCTTTTCAACTTGAAAAAAATGCTCTTTTATTTTGGTTTCCGCCCTCTGTCTTTAGTTTGCCTTATCCAAATGTAATGAAACTCACAATCAATGTTAAGAATAACAACAGTCAGATTTCGAATTGGATAGTAATTCATTTTGTAATTATGCCCCTTTATAACTTGGAAAATTGAAAAGCTTGAGCGGGGGACATTCGCGTTGTCAGACACATTCTTATTTTATTGTAATATTATGGTTTTTGTTGTTGTTAAAAAACCAACAGCAGCAGTATGCAATTTGTCTATGTGGGAAAAATCTATTCCCAGTAAATGGAAAATGATTTATTTCTTTTATCTCTCGCCTGCGACGAAATCGCAGAGTAAGACATAGGTACAAATATCCAGCGACGGCGTTAACTATTTAACTATTTGTATAAAGCTTTATATTTCCGAAGATAGAAGACTTGGATGCTTCATACTTTGTATGTAGATACCTTATGTTTCGAAGTTTTCGCCTGTCATATGTCCATTGGCCTTGACCTAATTTAATTGGTACGACGACAGCTGGAGCAAAATTATAGGTTTTTTTTACATGTGAATTTCTCACATATTATGAGTAATAGGATCATAACTACATGTTGTATATGAGTTCCTTGCAATGTTCGTCAGACATGGTTCACCTGACCATGTCCTCATTTAATGGATAAGTGATCAAGGTTAAAATTACGTGATTAGGTCAGTTTATCAGAAGTTATAAGACAGTGGGTCAACTATATGTGGTACATGACAGTCTGGCAGATTTTATCTGACCTTGACCTCATTTCCATGGTTCATTGGTCAATGTTAAGTTTTCCTTGTAAAATAGAGTTAACCTGTTGGTTATAGTATCTAAGAAACAGACTATCTGTATTTAGTGTATTTTTGTTGTTCGGATATACAAGTACCCGGCCACGTCCACTCTGTGTTTTTGTTAGATGTATTTCTATTTGTATCCATCTGATGACTTAAGCCTTTTTCAACTGATTTTTATAGTTCGTTCTTATGTTGTACTATTACACCACTGTCCCAGTATAGGGGAAGGATTGGAATCCCGCTAACATGTTTAACCCCGCCATATTCTGTATGTACGAGCCTGTCCCAAGTCAGGAGCCATTAAATCAGTGGTTGTCGTTTGTTGATGTGTTACATGTTTGTTTTTCGTTCATTTTTTTGAACATAAATCAGGCCGTTGGTTTTCTCGTTTGAATTGTTTTACATTTGCCATTTCGGGGCCTTTTATAGCTGACTATGCGGTATGGGCTTTGCTCATTGTTGAAGGCCGTACGGTGACTTATAGTTGTTAATTTCTGTGTCATTTGGTCTCTTGTGGAGTGTTGTCTCATTGGCAACCATACCACATCTTCTTTTTTATATTTACAAGGAAAACTTAAAAAAATCAACTATGTACTGGATTCCGAAGCTGCACAAAACTCCTTACAAATATAGATGTATGTCGTCTTCAAGCCATTGTTCCACTACTAAACTATCTATTCTACTTACTAGTACACTTGGTAATAAATCGTTCAAATAAGGCCTTTGAAAACAGTTCAACTAATTACTTTTAGAGTGTCAAAAATGGATATTAGTACCTATGTCTTTCTCTGCGATTTCGTTGCAGGCGAGAGATAAACGAAGTACTAGAAAATTAGTTTAAACATATTTATTTATAGTGGATTGGGAAACAATTCATTGCGACTTATATTAATCCCTTTCTACTTTGCGGGTGCGAGTGCTGCCTTGTAGCGGCGTTAGCCTGCTCTTTTTCGAAATCTACAAGGATATATTTTACGTGCAAGAGATATGGCTCTCTCTTAACACGGGTCAGCCATTTATCGTCCCCTTCCGACGGACTATCAACGTTTCTCAAGGCCATACTCGCAAATGGTGTCAAGGGAGAGCCGAAAACACGGAGTAAATCATTTTCCATCCACTGGGACTAGATTTTTCCCACAGAGACAAATTGCATACTGCTGCTGCTAGTTTTTTAACAACAACAAAAAAACATAATATTACAATAAATGCCAAAAAGTGTAAATCAATGATTATTGGTTCAAAACAGAGGCTTTATTCAACTGGGAACAGTTTAGATATCAAAATTTCAGATGAACAAATAGAGAATGTAGATTGTGAAAAACATCTCGGTTTATATATCGACAAAAACCTAAATTGGAATGAGCAAATAGATAAAATGTCGTGTACAATATCAAATAGAATCAACTTATTACAAAAGATAAGAAAATATTTACCTATGCATATAGGTATTATTTATTTTAATGCTTATATTCTGCCATTGTTTGATTATTGCTGCAATATATGGGGAAGTTGTTATGAAAGTGGAATAAATAAACTTAATAAGTTATTAAAGAAATCTGCTAGGCTTATATAATGACATCATCCAGTTTGTTGTTTAATAGTTTAAACTGGTTAAATGTGGAAAAAGCATTCAATATCAAAAGGCAATACTTGTATTTAAATCATTAAATGATATGGTTCCTAACTATTTACAAGAAAACTTTCATTTTATTGGTAATCAGAATTTTATAATTTACGTTCAGCTGATGAAAAACTATTAAATCTTCAGAAACCAAAAACAAACTTTTTAAAGAAAACATTTACATATTCAGGTTCTCAAATATGGAACAGTTTACCAAATGAAATAAAATGAGTAATACACTTGTATCTTTTAAAACAAAATGTTACACATTTTTCATCAATTGTGCAAATTAATATGCTTTTTCATTTAGTAGCACTAAAATTTAAAACAATGACAATAAGTACATTACAGAAGCAATCATATCATTTTCCTTGATATCACTAATATATTTATGATGATATTTACATCAGTTATGCATTAAACATGTTACATGTATAAACATGTATTTCCTGATAAAAAGTTTATTGGGATAGTTGAGAAAGTTGATATTAAGTATACATGCACATAAAATTAAATTAGCAAAATAACATTTTCATTAAAAAAATTCTTTTAATTGTAATATATATACCTGATCCAGGGGTAGGGATATAACTAGTACAGATAACAGAAGCATATGTCCCACTATGACATAAATCAGTGTTGTAAGTACAATTCTGTAGAGAGCTTTCCTGGCCAGTACATGTCACATCATTTATCGCAAATGGTATACTTAAATTTCCATAGGCTGAACAGCAATGGCTGATGCCATATTTATATTGTGTGAGTTCCCTGCAGACAACAGTAGCAGCTTCATCATCAAAACCCTCAGCACATACCAGACCATACTGGTTTGCTCCACTTTTCCACACTTGAAGATAACCATAGGATGGAGAAAACTGAGATAACTGTACTGCAATAAAATAATACATGTTGAAAATATAGACTTGTGACAAAAAAGTGAAAAAAATATCATTGACCTACCACCATAGGTTCCCCTTAAACTGAACTCATCACAAACTAATACATTTAAAATAAGCAAATTCTAAAAAGGCTTAGATCATCCCTATGGCCCAGGAAATACTTTTTCCTACCTTAAAGACCTCACTAGAAAATCATATCATAAAATATCATAAATGATAAGTAAGGCACATTTCCTCTGCTGAAGTGGTGATTATGAGAGAAGTACATCTGTTAGAACATATGAAACTGGTACTTACACCATGGTAGGCAGGAGACACCAGCATCTTTACTGTGATCTTTACATGATGAAGCAGAAACTCCCCAACCTAAGTTTGGGCAATCAAATATATTAGATGCAGTGCCATCACACTGTAAACTATCCATCAACACAGATCCAGTACCATGACCATGGTAAGATGAAATCTGTATTGAACCTTTACCAAAACCAAGTTGCTGACAAACTACATTAGCATCATACGGCGACCATTTATTGTCACAGATTGTACCCCATACTCCATCTCTTGCTACTTCCACTCGACCTTGAGATGGTGAATTCCCTCCGACAAGTCTGATATCCATACCTAAAGAAGCCGGCAAAAGTAAAAGTTTACTATTTTTGTTACATGATCCTAATAATAATTTATAAATTGTTTGAAATAAAAAAAGTTAAAGGTATCCTTGGATGAAGTTAAGCCATCAGTTAGTGGCCTTGCTTGGTTGTATTCTATTAAAGGCACATATCTAGGCCAACAAAAGGAACTTTTTGACAATTTGTAATGGGAGATAACTCAGCCTTTTCATTAGACTTGAATAAATTAAAACATTCCTGATGCATTGCAAACATTTTTTATCTATCCTCTTGATATAAATTTGATTAAATCAAGTTAAGCCCTTTGCTGGTTTTGAAGAAATGTTTGACATAACTTAAAGCTCCAAGGAGTTTGTACTGTTAAGTCTTTATGATTGATATACTTCAAAGGTCTGTACCCCTCACCTTCCAAAATAAGAGCAAGTTTTAAGATAAAGACTTATTCATAATTAACAATGCTGTTGTAAATATAAAGTAACCAGAGTTATCTTACCAGTTCCGTTGTAGCAAATAACTCCAGCTGGTTGTACATTGGAAGAACATTGTGTTGTAAGATTCATGGAAAAACTACATTCATATATTGATGCTTCATTTCCCAAACATTCAATGTATGTCAGCCAGATAGGATCAATCTGTGAAAGGAGCTTTATTGTTCCAAATGTTTGCCCATCTAAATAACGATTTTGATGACAGATAACTTTGGCATCATTATCATCCCAGCCATCCTGACACACTGTTCCTCGAATTCCATACTGTAAAACCCTCACTTCTCCATTGTAAACATCATCTATGTAAATCTGGAAATCTATAATTCAAAACCTCTAATCAAAATAATTGCATAATTTTGATGTAAGTGTCAATTCTACTTTTGGGTTTATATTTGGCATACTTATCTCAATATAGTGTGAATAGTTTAAACATTCTTTTTAATCAAAATATGTTAATGAAATTAAAACTTGAAGTTTTATGAGTAAAAAAAACAACAATTATTGTCCTTGCAATGCATTCATGTACAATGTATACTGTTGTGAAATCTCTGCCAAACATCATTTCCCTGTCAAACCAAGGGTACAATCAAATGTGGTCTCGCACAACTTTTATTCTAAAACTTATAAATAAATGTTTGTGATATATTGTTCTTTACATATACTCAATATTTTGAAATGTTTTTTTGCACACTGCATATATTTTTGCACTGTATCCTTTTTACAACATGCTACTATGAATTATTGCTTTTGAGCTTGTTTTTGATATTTCGATAACTTAGTTTGGTATTTCTACATGTGAGCTGTCAGCATGAAAATATCAAAAGAAGAACTGACATTAATATTTCCCAGAAACCCGTTTAAAATTGTAATCATCTTTTTAACTCTATGTTTTTACCAAATAGAAAATAATATCTATGTTTTACAGAGAACATTTATAAACTCTTGATGTATTTTCTTTTCCACTGGAATTTGCAAGGGCTGTACATGTTAAACAAGAAATCCACTTTGAATGGTACAGTCAATTTAATGATTATATCCCCTTTCAGAGATTTACTGATGCTAATAATAATAACAAACAACACAGTTATATCTTGAATTTAAAAAAAAAAAAAAAACATAACTTCAATATACATTAAAAGTATTTACCATCAGTAACATTTTGTTTGATGCATACAACACTGGCATATTCTGAATATTTGCAGTTTCCAATTGTATGGGGACAATCTAAAATATCAGTCTCATTCCCATAACAACTTATATCTATTGTAAAGCCTGAGTATGGTGATCGTCCAAATATTCCAGATGAAAGGACTCTAGCTCTGGCATATCCAAGTTGCCTGCAGACAACAGTTGCATCTTCTTGGTCAAATTTGGACGTACATAAATTGGTCCATTGTCTTCCTTGGTAAACCTCTACTCTTCCCATTTTCACATTGTCATTTGTTTCTCCCCCAGATAGGCGCACTAAAATTTATGAATGTATTTATATCCTTGATACTTAGTCACTGTACATATTTAATATGTCTTAATAAGTTATTAGTTTGTTTTTCGTTTGTTGTTTTGTACATAAATTAGGCCGTTGGCTTTCTTTTTGAATTGTCTTACAAATATCATGATGGAGCCTTTTATAGCTTATTATGGGGTATGGGTTTTGCTCATAGTTCTTCTACAGAAGTTTGCTCAAATCAACACTGTTTACTATAATTTACTGTCTGTCTTTTATTCTGAGAAAAAAAAATGTATTGCATATCAATCAATATATTCTCTCCAGGAATTATATTTTATTTTTGTAAACTTGTAAACATGTAAACTGAGAAGGCATTAAATATAAAGTCTCAGAAGAATAGGTGACTTTTTTAAAATTAATTTGAAAAGTTCAACCTTCCGGGGTCATGACAAAAGAGGCCAGTTTGCAGGCTTCCAAATTAGTCATGAGAAGGTCACTTACCATACATGCACACATTGTAAATTTGGTTTCTGTTTTTTTTTAAATCTTCCAGTAAACCTTTCTTTGCCATGATAAATATTTAAAACTTAAAATGATCAATAAAGAAAATTAATGTCACTAAACATTACTGCCCTCTCCTTTATACTACTGCAGTTGTATGTGCTTACCACTGCCATAACACAAGACTCCTGCATCATGACTGTGGTCCAGACAATCTTCATCAATAACATTTCTCCAGCCTGAACTCAGACAATCTGTGATCAATGATTCCCTCCCTGTACACTTTAGGTCTGACAAATAAACAGGTCCATGGCCTGGTGGAAAAGGTCCACTAAAATATGATATAATCAAAAACTTGGTGAATAAGTACCCATGCATGAATCTACCGCAAAACTATATAACTAATTCCCAAAGCATCTTTTTTTCTCTCTCTCTCTGGAAACCATCTTTACTTTAAAAAAAAGAAATAAAAACTTATTTTGCAACACATTATTCTAGTTTTCATTGAAACACAATCAATAAACAAATGCTGATGAAATGCAATTTTCTATTGTTAAAATCATGTCTAAAAACCAGTTTAAGTCAGTTTTGTTTCTATGATTAAATACCATTTTCAAAAAATATATTTTTTTGTTTATCCCCCCCCCCCCCCCCCCCCTCCCCTGATAATGACTAATAAAAGACCATAGTTATGGCTTGCCAATAAAATCAAGACTGTAAAGGGGAGATAATGCATGATTCATAGATTTTCTTGAAACATTACATAGCTTATCTTAATATCATTTTTAAGATTTCTTCGTATCATTCTAAAAATTAAATTAGAAAACAATATAAATAGATGTCAGTAAATATTTAAGTCAAAGCTTAATTATATGCAGTCCAATCTGTCTCAGTTTTTTCATCAAAATGTGATAAAAGGCTCAATGAGAAAGAAATCATTACATATTCTTAAAAAAATTTTATTTTTTTAACCCCACTAATAGTGATTCCCAAATAACCAGACTTTGCACCAAATTTTTTAAAAAATATTAAAAAATGACCAATTCCAAAATATTGGAGTAAAATTTTCATTTTGCGTTACAACATTAAGCATACCTCCATTTCCTGCCTGCAACAAAACCAATATATCTACAGATAACCTCAGCATCTCTCGTTGACCATTCTTTATTACATATAGTGCCTATTTTACCATCGACTTCAATGTTTACTCTGCCAAAATCTACTCCTCCATCACTTATACTGACATTTAAACCTGCAAACCAGAAGAGAAAGAATATAAGTACTAAGTACATTGTCAGGAGCTTAGCTACGTTTACTGAAAATATGAACATGAAATTTGGAGAAAATATAGTTTAATTCAAATAAATTAGAAGAACTGGTTAAAAGCACATGAGCTTTATAATGCTTTCTTCTTTGACTTGTAATTGAAGACAAAATTGATGAAATTTACTTTTTACTCAAATGGTGCCATATTATATATTTGTTCATTTTATATCAAAGTCTGTATCCAATGTGAATTCTACTCAGTTTACTATTGTTTAAAGCAATTCATTATCTGTTGAAATAGGATAAGTGGCTTGCATTTTTATGTTACACCTGACCATCAATGAAAATTTAATTATTTCATGTGTCCATTAACAAATTTGCGCGTAAAAGGGTGAGAAAATTAGATGAAGTCTAAATAATTAATAGAACAACATTGAGATGGAGACTTGCTTTTTTTATTATCTCTATAAAGTTTTCAATATTTTGTCGATTGATTGTTTTACCCCACATCTCCTTTTAAACATTTTTAAAGTATCTGGTTTGGATTTTTTCTCTCTAAAACAAATTACCATTAAATTCTGAATCCACACAATGAAAAAAATTTCAAAAAAAAAAAAACCAAACTAGTCTATAAAAGTGAGGCGAAAGATACCAAAGGGATATTTAAACTCATCAGTCGAAAACAAACTGACAATGCCATGACAAAAATTCGTAAGGGTTCCGCTGAACCCAGTGTCTTGCCTACTTTTGCTGTTGTCTATGTTTTCAGTGTGATAGGAGAATGCACATAATAGATTTACAGTTAATGAAATAAAACGTTTGTAATGTATGAAAAAAGTTATGCTTGTACAAAATGAATACAGTATGCAATCAAATCTATAGATTTATAAAAGAGTTGAAACATAAATTTATTGAATGAACAAATGATAAAGAAGATAATTTTTACATTTTCCTCAAGATACTATCTTTTGATTGTAAGAAGCTTCTGCCCAAGTTTGGTAAAAATCAAGGATGGTTTATGAATCCAATAAATGTTTTAAAAACTTTAACTGTATGTAATGTTAACTGGAAGAAAAACTAAGTCCATTTATAAGTAATATACGGAAAAACAGGAAATAAATTTTTACAAAATTTCCTTCTAGATACTAGCTATTGGTCATAAACAAGCTTCTGTCCAAGTTTGGTAGAAATCCAGGATATTTTAAGAAAGTAATTAAAATTTAAAAAAAACTTTAACCACAGAGTGAATGTAATATTAACCGACAGAAAAACTAAGTCCATTTATAAGTAAAATACGGATAAACAGGATTTTTTTTTTACAAAATTTACTTCTGGATACTATCTTATGATCATAAACAAGCTTTTGTTCTAGTTTGGTAGAAATCTAGGATAGTTATAGAAAGTTATTAAAATTTCAAAGACTTTAACAACAGAGTGAATATTTGTGATCGCCGCCGACGACGACGCCGACGACGGAATGTAGGATCGCTATGTCTCGCTTTTGCGACAAAAGTCGCAGGCTCGACAAAAATGAAAAACGATGATAAGACAAACAATACAAAACACAACATCGAAAACTAAAGACTGAGTAACACGAACCCCATCAAAAACCGGAGGTTATCTCAGGTGCTCCGGAAGGGTAAACAGATCCTGCTCCACATGATTCACCCGTCGTGTCGCTCATGTAAGTATGAACCCGCTAATAATTCTAATTCGGTAGGTCACACTTGAGGAAAAGAGGACGGGATTGTGGTTACAGCAAATTGGAACATATCCGTCGTCACCTGTGAAACAGAAGCCCACCTCCGGGTGCGGGATTTTCTCGCTGTGTTGAAGACCCATTGGTGGACTAGGGCTATTTTCTGCTCTTTGGTCGGGTTGTTGTCTCTTTTACGCATTCCCCGTTTTCATTCAAAATTTTATTCCATAACGGTCAACCAACTCGTGATGACTGCCGTAAATATTTTGAATGAGATTTCAACTTCACCATTAGGAACTCTTGGTTCAATAACTTCCTTGTAAGCAGCAACCCACTATCAAGGAAATCACGATAGGAAATGCAAGCTCTGGAATATCGTATCAGCTGGGAGATATATATACTCCATATGCTTTTGCTACTGGTATGTTGCTACATAGAAATGTAAATTTCACAATTGGGAAGCTGAAATCATTTCTTTTGTCGTAAAGTTGTTGCTATTGATGGGTTTTTAATAATAGAAATGGTATCTCTTTCTTGAAAACGCGTGAGCTTCAGGGAAGGGGGGGTCGTACCTTACTAGGATGCCCTCTGCCCTGGACCCGCTGAGGCCCCAAGACCCCTCGCCGAGGTTCGGGCGTACACGTAAAAATGGCCTAGCTACGAAACAGATTGTATCTAGAACTAATATAGTTAAGTTACAATAACAATCCCAGATTGTATATAACTTACTGTACAGTTTGCTCTATTCGATTTACTTTACAGTTTACTCTTACATTTCAAATACAGATTTTAAATCAGAAAACTGTTACTTAAACCTGTGTCTTACAAAAATAAAAACGAAAACAAAAATGAGATTGAGATTGAGGTACAATTGGCTCTAATATAAAACTTTGTTAAAAGTACTCCAATTGGCAGAATTAAATGTGATACTTCAACAGAACCATGTCAAAGTATTTTCTTTTCCTGCATTAATAATATAAAACCATAAACTGACAGTATTAAAACTTAGTAAAGTTGTGAAATTCAATGAAACCTTGACAATTTAGAAAAAAAAGAGTTGCAGAGTAAATATTAAATAATGACCTTGATGAGAAACACAGAAAATTACCGGTACTTCATTTAGTATAAAAGTAAGAGTATAAATAATTATTGTTAAAAACAACCTGAAGTATTAAAACAAATGACTCCAGCACTAAATACTGATTCACAAAAATCTTCTGTTCTGATGCAGTGATCCAAGTTTTGTTCTTGTCCTGTACAGTTTATTGAGTTTATAAGGAAAGGTAGCTCATTTGACTTTGGGTATGCTGCTGGTAGTCCACCTCCATAACCAAGTTGATGACAGGCAACCTCAGCCTCCTCTTTTCCCCATGATGAAGCACAAATTTGTCCTGTAGCTTGGAATTTATCTTCAAACCAATTTAATTGACCATATGATAAGCTGTTGTTTAAACTCAGGTGTGTTCCTATTAAAACAAAATACCCATCTGGTGTTAGTTTTATATTTAATCTATCAAATAACATTCCTTTCATGTTCATAAGACATTATAGTTATGTCAGATATCAGCATTGATATTTTTGAATTTTTACTTGTGTAAAAACCTTTTTTCTGTACGACTTCTATCAACTTGCATTTTTAATATGAAAACCTTCAAAAACTGCCAAAGTAGTTTGTTTTTGAGATCTTGACGTTAATATTTAAATCTAAGCCACAGCCTTACGATATGTATTGATTTTTCAAAAGAATGTCATATCGAAATGTCATGTGAATAGCACATTTTTGAGAATAATTGTTGCTCATATCTTATTTTGTCAAAAACTATGTTGAAAATTGACATTGTTGTGTTAATGTTCCAATTTCAACATTTTTAAGACATAAATACATTTCTGCACTAAAGTGTTCAAAAAGGCTTTTTGCACTGAATTGCTGTAAAAATAAAATAGATGAGATCATATAAATGAAACCAATTCAAGGGTTAAAGCCAGTACTATAAACTAAGAGAACATCTTACAAGTATGAAACGTTTATGAATATTGACAACACAGATATACAAATGAAAGATTCAACAATGTTCAAAACTAAGGAATTCATACCATTAACTGAGACGTAACATTCAATTTTAATTAGAAAATATTTACTATATCTGAACTTACCATTCACAACAGATCCAGAGTCATAACAAGATACAGCTAAATAGTCCCCCTTACAACTGTCGATCGTTACCAATGAACAACTGCCAATGTCTTCTCCTTGGTCACATTTGATATAACCATTGAAATAATCACCACTCACTACTCCATAGGAACCAACTGGAAGAACCAAACCATCAGCATGTCCTAATTCTTGACATATAACCTTTGATTCTTTGTTTTCTGATTGTCCAAGACATAAAATCACCCATGATCCATTATGGTTCAGTTGTACTACTCCTGTGTTATTTGCTTGTATTAACCTAACAAGTTCTACAAGAACAAACATCTTTAGTTCGCATTGAAATTTTCTGTATTTGAAAATAATAATGAAAGCAAGACCTATTTTATAGTGAAAATGACCAAATTTAAGCACTCATAGACAACCTTTTGGTATTTCTTTGGCCAATGAACTATGAAAATGAGGCCAAGGTCAGATAAACCCTGCCACAGACATGTACACTATACAATCAGAATCTTTACATGCATCAAATATAGTTGACCTGTTGCTGATAGTATCTAAGAAACAGACTTAACCTGGAAAACTTAAGATTGAGCAATGAACCATGAAAATGAGGCCAAGGTCAGATGAACCCTGCCAGACAGACATGTACACCTTGCAATCATTACATGCAACAAATATATAGTTGACGTGTTGCTGGTAGTATCTAAGAAACAGACTTAATCTGGATTAAGACTTAAGATTGAGCAATGAACCATGAACATGTTACTCATTATAAGTGAGAAATGTACATGACAAAAAAAAAAGAACTTTTTCCAAGCAGTCGTTGAACCATGAAGATGAGGTGAAGAACATCAGACATATGGCAGACGGAAACTTCGTAACATATAAAAGGCATCTGATTACAAGGTATCTACCCTTTGAAATATAAAGCTTAATACAAATAGTTTACACCACCGGATTGTAATCCCTGTGTATCCGATTTTAATTCGTGATTTCAAATTCAAATTATTGAGGTACTAAATGGGCTTCCGTATCAATGGATAATAGAGGGGTATCATATATTAACTACTGTTATTGGAAAATCGTATGGATAAAAGCTAAATCACATTAAATAGGTGAAAAATAAATATAAATATAAAGAAATGTTAACAGAACACAAAAAAAAAATAAAAAAATAGAAAATGCGGGGATTCCAGTCCCCAAGTGACTGTGGATAATAAGTAATTATAGGTCACAGTACGGCCTTCAACAATAAGAAAAACCCAAAACCGCATATAGTCAGCTTTAAAATGCCCCGACATGAAAAATATGAAAACAATTTAATAAAACAAGAAAACTAACGGCCTAATTTACAACAATTCGATTTATAATAAATAAATATGACACGAGTAAAGGACAACCACTGAGTTATAGTCTCCTGACTTGGAGCAGGCACTTAAAGAATGTGGCAGGGTTAAACATGTTTGTGAGCGCTCAACCCTCCTTAACCTGGGACAGTTTATTGTACAGTTTAGTTGGGTGTCAAAATTACCGAAAAAGAAGGACGGGATAATAGGTGAAATATGTTTATCACACAGACATAAAAATGGTGCATACTTTAAATATTGAAATTTTTTTTCTTTCTAGTATGTTCACCATTGTTAGATCATTTCAATGAATGAGTTCAAATTTCTTCCTGTTTCTGGAAGTAGGGCAAATAAATTGAAAATTTTCTAATCAAAATTATTTAGAATTTAATGTTTTACATCATGACTAAATTTAAATAATTTTCATTTTAAAGGTTTTCCCCAATGTTATTCATTTCTATACCATATTACATGATAACCATTATTGATCTTTTTGTTTTGTTTTTTATTATATTATACGTTTGTTTTTTTTCATATTATACGCTTGATTCGAAGAACTACTTTTCAAAAAGAAATTTCACTTATTAGGAAATGAATAACATACTAGTATTCTTAGATGTATTCATATACAATCTTTACATGATTTACTATAAGACCTGAATAAACAAAAACCCATTTGTTAAAAAAATAAATAAACACTGATAATCTATTTACACTGATCTATACAACATTTGAAATATATGATTGAAAATGTGGTTTCATCACTCAATCAAAGAATAAGTTTCTAGTCTTAGTAGCCATTGACAAATTTTCAACAAAGCTGCATAAAATGTTAATAACTGGTTATAGACACTATTCAATCTTTGAGTGGCAAGGAGTACAAATTGTTTTTAAACGGGCACTTGTCTCCGTCTTTGAGAAATTGATCTTTCAATAGTATTTCTAAACATAGTGTATTTCAAAAACAAGAATTAAATGTTTATCGTTGCAAATCGCTTATCATTAGGGATAGACAATAGACAACATTTATCAGCACAAACACAATAATAACAATCGGTTAAGGTCAAGTACAAAGTACATTGATTGCATTATAAAATACATATATATATGACAACTATAGTATCAATAGATTGTATAAAAGATAAATGCATGTATTATATTATGATTTTTGTAACACATCATTCCTTTTTTATAACAATTAGGAAATATCATCCAGAAATTTGGATATCACACGACGCACAATAACTATACATGGATTCACCAAGTTACTGCTTAATTTTTATATATTCTTGTATACCAATAAAAGCATTATACACACACAAAGCCAGCATACCAGTTCCTTTAAAACAAAAGCACTATCAAAATAAACCAAAGATTTACGAATTACATTTTCAGTGCTAACAGACTGAATGGTAAGACCAAAGGTTTACGAATTACATTTTTCAGTGTTAACAAACTGAATGGGAAGACCAAAGCATTCAGAGAGGGGAATCAAAAGGAGGCTGACGAGTCCAAAGGGACAATCAAAATTCATTGTTCGAAGGGAAACCAACTAAACTATGTCAGAAAAGAAGAACAATGATCTCATGTGCTCACGAAGGATAAGCAGATCCTGCTCCACGTGCAATATGTAACCTTCAAGAATATTTTTTTTTTTGCAGATATTTGATAATTTCTAAATTTACGGATTCTATAAATAAGATCCCCGTTAAATTTAGGATAAGATATCCTGTTTGTAATAATGTTTCTACAGGTTCAGCCAAACTTCCAAACACAATCTTTGTACATGTATCTTTGAAAAATAAACAAAACGTTTTAAATAATTTAAGGTAACGAAAGCACCAATCTAATCAAAATAAAGATCTATGATTTCGCTATCCTCAGATAATACAAGCACGCGAGTTGTGATAAATCTGATTTTAATTAGATTGCGAAATTCCTGATTTAATGATATTACGTTCATTGAAATCTAAAATGCCACTGCAGACATGGACATAGCGAACGAGAAAGTACATGTACACACCGTTAGAAGGGGGTCAAAGAAACACCAGTGTCCACAAAAGGATAATAAACAATAAGGAGCGAAAATGCGTCCCTTTTGTGTTTTTTTTACAGTTTCCTGTGTGAAACGGAAATATCCAAACCCTTTAGTATCATGATCTATCATGCCATCATACATTATACGAGACGAGAATAACCCGTATCATGCCATCATACATTATACGAGACGAGAATAACCCGTATCATGCCAACATACATTATACGAGACGAGAATAACCCGTATCATGCCATCATACATTATACGAGACGAGAATAACCCGTATCATGCCATCATACATTATACGAGACGAGAGTAACCCGTATCATGCCATCATACATTATACGAGACGAGAATAACCCGTATCATGCCAACATACATTATACGAGACGAGAATAACCCGTATCATGCCATCATACATTATACGAGACGAGAATAACCCGTATCATGCCATCATACATTATACGAGACGAGAATAACCCGTATCATGCCATCATACATTATACGAGACGAGAATAACCCGTATCATGCCATCATACATTATACGAGACGAGAATAACCCGTATCATGCCATCATACATTATACGAGACGAGAATAACCCGTATCATGCCAACATACATTATACGAGACGAGAATAACCCGTATCATGCCAACATACATTATACGAGACGAGAATAACCCGTATCATGCCAACATACATTATACGAGACGAGAATAACCCATATCATGCCAACATACATTATACGAAACGAGAATAACCCGTATCATGCCAACATACATTATACGAGACGAGAATAACCCGTATCATGCCAACATACATTATACGAGACGAGAATAACCCATATCATGCCAACATACATTATACGAGACGAGAATAACCCATATCATGCCAACAACTGGTTTCTTTCCTATGCAAAGACCCTATGAGTGAATCAATATTAATTCCAAAATATGCCATATTTTATGACTTTACAACAGTATCGTAACCTTATCCCTTCTGAATAAGTCTGTTTAATGGTTTAGTTAACTTTGGAGGTGAATGACGAAATATATATGATTCTAAAATTTACGTTGTTCTGGACATCGATTTCAAATATTATATATATATCCTTAATTGATCATGACAGCAAATTGGAATGTTTGTGATTTCAGAAAATATGGAAAATTTGAATTATTACCTGTTGACAATATCGAAATAACAGGTTATTATAAATATCATTTGACACCTTGAAGACGCCAATTGTAATTTAATATTTATTTGTTTTACATCCAAGTTGGACTGACATTTTTTGTTTAACTCAAAAAGTTAAACATACTAATGAATACGATTTCAATTGCCTCTCGTATCAATCAAATGTCATGAACAAGTCTGACACCTACATTATGACCAAAATTTAAGAAACCGTTAAAACAATTGCAAAAAAAAATAAATCGAAAACAGTCTCAATTTTTCTTACATATTTCATTTAGTTGCACAAAAGTACGTACTGCATGTTTAAAGTTGTAAGCTGTAGATATTAGAAAAATATACACGCAGTTACGAATGGAACCATGATTGAATCCATGTTCATTCAAACCGGGATCCATTTTACTTACTTCTACTTACCAGAAGACCTGGTAAATTTAACCTCAACTAGGAATATTATCCACACGTATATGGAAGACATCTTTAACTTCCTGAAACATTATCTGTTGCATTCAACGTTTAAACTGTTTGTTCACCGTTATTTATAAAAATTAGACTTGTTCAACTTAAACTGTTTATAACAGTGACAACTGGTGCATATAAATTCTATTATAAACTTTCTTGTGACCTATTTGAAATTTTATTCACTCGGTCGACCTTAAAACCTGGTATACAATGTGTACATACAAATGTTACATCGGATTGGGTAGACTCAGACCAAGTTCAGTTTCAATGGGATAATCTGCGATTCGAGGTCGAAACGTCTAGTAACCGTGACTGTTGTCGAAAACTTTCATTGAATGTGACAATTAAAGAATAAAATAACTTTACACCCTTTATCTCAATGGGCCTTTTTTGTTTCACCCATGAAGGATTGTAGATGTTTTTATAAGCACTAGAAGTTTTGTCATCCCCAAGCATAAAATAAAGTTCAAAATCAAGTTTTTCTTGTGCAGCTAGTAAAATAAAGTAAAGATACGTTGACACAAGTGTAGTTTGGGCTTCTTATTTTTCGAACACCGTAAGCATTGTAAAAACACAATGACAAACTCAAGTTAGGTATACATCAAAACGACAATAATGAAACAAAATTTTGTTTATCCTTTGCAGAAACTCGTGAGACCGTAACATCCAAATCCAATACCATTCTTGGCTTTGTAACCGGAGAGCATGATTCTAATTGGAAATTCACTTTGTCTATTCCGGGACTCAAACCCGGACCTCTGTGTTACAAACTAGCGCTCTAACCGACTGCGCTACAGAAGCACGGTACTTCCCTAGCGCAACCGCTTACGGCTGACCTAAATATCTGAGTTATGATATAGATACTACTACAAGTACTAACTAAAGGTAAAATCCCGTTACAGTTTGAATACTACGGTACTGTATTTATCTCATAACATTAAGCAAAAAGTTGAAATGAGAGCTAAACAAGTAATAATCATGTACGCATCATGGCAACTGATAACCATCGCAGCTCTCAGTTTACATTATGGTCGTTCTTTGGTGTATAATACTTCAGACTTAGTAGTGGTTAGTTATCTCAATACTATGCGCTCATTGTGTTTAAGGAAACAATTAGAATTCAAGAGTTTCACAATGTTCTCAGAATATTTTACATGTCCAATATTTAAGCCAGAAAATAACAAAGGAATTGCTTTTAATAGCATTATCGACAAGCTTCTGAATTTAGTAATGTCAGTCTGATTGGATTTCAGAAATGTTTTAGTTAGCAATAATATGCACGAAACACAAATCGAATTCTCATAAAAAAGTGATAACTTCGGATCAGATTTGTTTTAAGGTGTATAAATGATGAGCATTCGCAAAGTAAACATAAGTAACGCTCACAAATATGATCGCTCACAAACATGTCTAACCCCGCCACATTCTTTATGTGCCTATCCCAAGTTAAGAGCCTGTAGTTCAGTGGTTGTCGTTGGTTCATGTCTGTCATATTTGTTTTTCGTAAATTGTTTTGTTATCAATCAGGCCGTTAGTTTTCTCAATTGAAATGTTTCATATTTTTCATGTCAGGGCCTTTTATGGCCGACTATACGGTATGGGGTTTTCTCATTGTTGAAGGCCGTACGGTTGCCTATAATTACTTACATCCACTTTATTTGAACTTTGGTGGATAATTGTCTCATTGGCGATCATACCACATCTCCTTAATTTTATATTGTTATATAACACATGTACAGTCTAACACATAGCAACTTAATAATATTAATTACTATTACATGCTTTTTAACATCTTCGCTTGCAAAGGGTTACGATCCAGTCACCTTCTATACACTGACTTTTATTCCCTGGTAGATGGCGCAGCATTGTAATCCCAAATGTTGGCTTAATCTGCCAAGGGTGGAGAGGAGGGGACTGGATCGTAACCCTTGGCTATCGAAAATGGCTTTTTAAATAAAACAGTGAAGTTCATTTTTTGATAAATCAAAACATAACTAGATGTATTGCTATACATTTGTGAAAACTTATACTATACAATAATCCTGTCGATATTATGTACTCATATTTTGGTATTGCATAAGGTCATACTTTTCTCAATCTGTTCAATGTTCATCATCTCTGTAAGCTACATCCGTTGGATTTGTACTGAATGACATTGTAGTCTGGGAGACCATGATTTTCTTTTATAGTTGTTATTGCCATTTAACTAGATTTCAGTATTGTGAGTAATTTTGGATGGACACTGCGTGTCTCTTTATGTTAGTTCGTGTCGATCTAATGATTCAAGCCATATTCAACTGATTTTTACAGTTTGTTCTTATTTTGTACGTGTTTTACACCATTCTCCAAGGTTAGGACAGGGTTGAGCGCTCACAAACATACTAAACCCCGCCATTCTATATGAACCTATTCCAAGTCAGGAGCCTGTAATTTAGTGGGTGTCATTGATTGCTGTCTGTCATACTTGATTTCTTTTCTTTTATTGTTTTGTCTGTTTTTTTTTCGTTTGAAATGTTTCAAATTTTAAAATGACAGAAGTCTTCTTTTCAGAGCCGTGTATGATATAAGGACTCTGTTTTGATCATTGGTCAATCTAATAACTTTTTTCATAATAGAAATTATCCGCATTAATCTTATCTTAAACTCTAACGAGATTATCAACACAAACTAAATATTTTAAATGAGAATTGCAATGAGTGGGGCCTTAAAGTTAGCATACAGCCAAAAATCCCAAGTTATTGTTTATATAGTTGCAAGCTACATCATGGTAATTTCCATATTTGTTTTTTGTTAGTGCTTATATTTGTTCTATTTTCTTTGTTTCAAGTAGTAATAGTTCCAGCTCTAGCGATGATACAAAATAACTATCGGACTACTGTCACCATTTGTCTCTGTAAATTGCACTTTTGTTGAGCAACAAATGTTCAAAAAGTATACAAATGAAGTTGGGATTTAGATTACCACTCTATAATATAATAGCTCAAATAATTGATATTGCAATAACTGTCAGATGATTAAAACAAAAAGTATGAAAAAGTTAAAACAAAACAAATTCTTGGGAAATTGGACCTACTCCTATCATAAAAATATGACGAGAAATGTAGGCGTGAGAGTGCTTACAGTGCAGTTTTTCATAGAATGTACATAACAAAGGGACATAATTCCAGTAAAAATAATTGATCAGTACTGATTTTCGAATTTGACCAAGTCATAGCTGTGATAAACTTTTGATATAAATGTCATAAAAATCTGACAAGAAATGCAAGCTTGAGAGCACTTACAATGGAAAGGTCTATTGATTTAACATTTCCAAGGGACAAAACTACTTTAAAAATAATTGATCGGCCCTAAAGGAGAGACAAAAGATACCAAAGGGACATTCAAACTCATAATATATAGATATAAGAAGATGCGGTATGAGTGCCAATGAGACAACTCTCCATCCAAGTCACAATCTGTAAAAGTAAGCATTTATAGGTCAAAGTACGGCCTTCAACACGGAGCCTTGGCTCACACTGAACAGCAAGCTATAAAGGGCCCCAAAAATGACTAGTGTAAAACCATTCAAACAGGAAAACCAACGGTCTAATCTATATAAGAAATGAGAAACACTTATGAACCACATCAACAAACGACAACCACTGAACATCAGGTTTCTGACTAAGGACAGGTGCAAACAAATGCAGCGGGTTTAAAGGTTTTAATAGGCGCCAACCTTCACCCTATACCTGAAACAATAGTGTAACATCACAACATAGAAAGCCACACTATAAAATATCAATTGAAATGGCTTAACTCAATCAAATATTAACAAAAACAAGTGAACATACACTGAACGAATAAATTTGATCTATGACACAATGTAAATACAAAATTAATAAAACAAAGGGGTTAGATGTTTAACAATATCAGAAAGACAACCTTAACCTTGGACAAAATGCCGCCAAATAAAATAACGTACACAGGTAAATAAAAATAATTTTGTTGTAAGGTATACATGGAGTACGGAAATATTTTTTACAAAATAAATAATTTTGTTGTTCCTAGTACGAGAACAAAAGTGAAAATTTATCGTCATACTAAACACTTATCAAAGGTGGTATATATTAAAGATAGTGAGACTAGATATAACACTGAATAAGTAAACATTAAATAACAAAAATACATTACAAAAAAAATGTTTCAACAGGTCAAATTAACACGAAAGTACGATTTGAGAGTACTCGCAGTTACTGAAAGCTAGTTAAAAGCCAAAAACAATTAAAACGTTTTAATAGGCGCCAACCTTCACCCTATACCTGAAACAATAGTGTAACATCACAACATAGAAAGCCACACTATAAAATATCAATTGAAATGGCTTAACTCAATCAAAAGACATATTAACAAAAACAAGTGAACATACACTGAACGAATAAATTTGATCTATGAAACAATGTAAATACAAAATTAATAAAACAAAGGGGTTTGATGTTTAACAATATCAGAAAGACAACCTTAACCTTGGACAAAATGCCGCCAAATAAAATAACGTACACAGGTAAATAAAAATAATTTTGTTGTAAGGTATACATGGAGTACGGAAATATTTTTTACAAAATAAATAATTTTGTTGTTCCTAGTACGAGAACAAAAGTGAAAATTTATCGTCATACTAAACACTTATCAAAGGTGGTATATATTAAAGATAGTGAGACTAGATATAACACTGAATAAGTAAACATTAAATTACAAAAATACATTACAAAAAAAATGTTTCAACAGGTCAAATTAACACGTAAGTACGATTTGAGAGTACTCGCAGTTACTGAAAGCTAGTTAAAAGCCAAAAATCGTCTCTTTTGTCGTAAAGTTCCTTTGGGTAAATTTCGGTAGTATATTTAGAGAACTCTGCATTATTTTTCTTTTTCTTTTAAACAAATTATAAAACAATACTTGAGACAGTCCCAATATTCAGTCTTGAAATGATTGCAACTATTACTCTTTTTTTCAGAATGTATGATTTTGATTTGTATATAATATCTATTCACTACATGCAATCTGTAACTGTTTTATATGTTCTAATTATGGTACATGTACATTGAACTATCATGACTATACGATTGTG